TCCTGATTTGCTGACAGCTGCCTTCTCACTCTGTCATCACGTGCATTCTTCAGTGCACACAGGGAAAGAGAAAGCCAGAGAGAGAGAGAGCGCGCAAGTGAGCTATTGACTCCTCTTTTAAGATCTCATTAGATTAGGGCACCACATCTATGATCACATTTAACCTGAGTTATATCTTCAGAGGCCTCATCTCCATATACAACCACACTGGGTTCTCTGAAAATTAAAGTGAGAATTTGGAGGGAGGACACACATATTCATTCCATTACACAGATGAATTGTACAAGTCATAGATTCAACAACATTCTTGGAATACCAACTCATTACTTATCTTCCCTAAATATATACTTATTGCTGTTAAAGAATTTATTGTAATGAAAAAAAAATACCGAATGATCAAATGTCTTAGCAGTTATGTATTTACCCCATAGCAAGAGCAAGAGCAACAGCAACAGCATTAGTAGTGATCTCTACCCTTTATGATAGGGCAGCCTGGCTTAGCATTTTGCCTTTTTATTGAAGTGTTATTTCCCTTAAATGGTTCATGAAAAACCTAATCTACATTATCCCAAATTTCCCAGTGATCCTGCTTACCCAATGGCCCAGCAGAATTTTGCCTTTTTAGGCTGTTGCATAGACTATAGCAGTAACAACAGTCTGCCAAGTGGCTGGCTGGGCCATTAATATTGGATACCTCTTCCATCACCACCTGAGACCAGAGCAGCTGTTCCATTTCCAAGGACAATTGGTTATAGGATCAAGCACCATCTATACAGTCATGGGAAGAGGGATGTTAGTCATTTGGTGTCTAAAAAGAACATTGTAAAGAGGCAGATTAGTGCTTGGTGCATTTCATATTTCATTGTGCTAGTAGCCACTCTGTGAACTGCAACAAGAATTATGTGGAAATTTACATCCTAGCTTAATGTTTCTTTCTTTTATTAAGAGTTTTCAAATATATAGAAAATTTGAAATGGTGTTACAGTGATCAACCACATCACCAGCACCTGGATTCTGTCTTTCACATGTTCTTATACTTGTTCTATCACATAGCCATCCATGGATTTGTCCATCTACCCACTAGTCTGTCTTTTATTTTCTCATGTATTTGAAAGTATAGTGCAGATGTTGATTCAGCACTTCCTGAATACTCCAACATGTGTATCAGCAACTCAGATACTGTATTGGTATGGAATTTTCACAGGTTTCTTTGGGTGTTCCCAGCTGCACATTACCTAATCATGACTTCACTCAAGCAATCCTTGTCCTCATCCTCCAGGCAAACAAGTGCTGTTTCCTTTCCCACTACACATTTAATTTTGTTTGAGAATTTTATACAATGGAATCAGACTATGTAATATTTCATGGTTTTTTTTTTACTAAAAAAGAATGCTTTTGGACTCATTTGTGTGGTTGCTTGTCTAGTAGTAGTCCAGATATATCAAATATATAATGCTTTCTTCATGGCCTCGTTGATGGTCTTATTAGCTATTAGCAGCTTTTCGCTATTATGAATTAAACTCCCCAGAACATTTGTATGCAGGTTTTTTATGGTCCCTTAGTATTCGTTGTCTTGGCTAGTATGCCTAGCACTAGGACTAAAAGTGCTCACTCATATGAAAAAATATAAGGTTAAGGACACATGGGTTATGGCCGGCGCCACGGCTCACTAGGCTAATCCTCCACCTAGCGGTGCCGGCACACCGAGTTCTAGTCCTGGTCAGGGCGCCAGATTCTGTCCTGGTTGCCCCTCTTCCAGGCCAGCTCTGCTGTGGCCAGGGAGTGCAGTGGAGGATGGCCCAAGTACTTGGGCCCTGTACCCCATGGGAGACCAGGATAAGTACCTGGCTCCTGCCATCGGATCAGCCCAGTGCGCCGGCTGCAGCGCGCCAGCCATGGCGGCCATTGGAGGGTGAACCAACGGCAAAAGGAAGACCTTTCTCTCTGTCTCTCTCTCTCACTGTCCACTCTGCCTGTCAAAAAAAAAAAAAAAAACACATGGGTTAAAATTTCAAATAGATTATCCAGGGAAGGCTTTACTGAAAAGGTTTAGAAGTCATTGTAAGGATTTAGCTTTGGGGGGATTTAAATGATATAGTTGTTGAAAGAAAAAACTATGAGACTTATCAAAGGCACTTGAACAGGGAAAATGTCTGAGAACGGCAGCATTTCCAATGAAAGATAGTTCAAAATGCTTGCACCTGCTATGTGGCAAGTTGTATTTATTACTAGAAAAGAAAAACCAGGTATAATAGAGATTATCTGATTGTCACAGTTCTGGTTTTGCCTTATTTGGGTGTAAATTGTCTGCCTTCATCCTGTGGCTGTGGCTTACTGGCTTCCCTACTAGAATATACTCTTTGGTAGGTTACAACTTCCTTGCACATATGGCTAGGTTGTACTTCATTACATATAGAAAGGGCTTTGTAATGCACTCACCAAAAAATGGAGGTCATTATAGGTCAACTTTAATTCAACACCAAGATAGGAGGTGAATTGTGCTTTAAGATGTTTGCTCTATACAACATGCATTCCCACGGACTTACTTCTAAGAGTACAGCTTAACAACTAGCCATACAACCCCCAAATCCCTTAAGCTGGCTGATAAAAATAGCAGCTTAAATGTTATAAAGATCAAATAGATAGGAATAAGTGCTAAAATGACCATATCATTAGGATCAAGTGTTAAAGTAATCGTATAAATAGGACTAAGTGTTTTGAAACGATAATAGAATTAAAAAGGAACAGAGGCTCCAACATGGGAAGCAGGCCATACAGCAGACTTATAGAATGAAAATCGCTTTAAGTAGCACTCTGAATTCAGATACAGCCTCAAAGGCATTCCAGTCTGGCTGGAAAGGCCAGGGGGAGCATTTCAGGCATGGAAAGCCAAAACACTGTGGAAAAAAAAAATGTCCTACATAAAGGACCTCGGTGGGTGAGACCCACCAAAGTGGCCACCAAAGAAGGACGTACTTTTCTCTGAAGGGAGGAGAGAACTTCCACTTTGGTTATGGCCTTGTTGAGCTAATCAATCCAAAAGGCTTCCATGGCTGAAGTAGCTCATGTCAAGAGCCTTGGGTGATCACTGATGTCATACATAAGAGTGTTATCTTTTAAATAAATACCAAGAGTGCACTAACTTCCCATGTGGTACCTTTGTCCCCAAAGGGTTGTATCGTGAGACTTAATAGTAAAACTTGTTCTCAAGAATCACTTCCATTTAGTGTACTTAAAGGAGGATAATACTATGTCTCATAAGTTCAAGTTATGTCTAAGAGCTCACAAGAAATGCATCATCCTTGGGTTCTTCATTAAAGACAATTGAGTTTCTAAAAGGAAAGAAGGGGGAGGAAGGGAGGGGAAAGAGGAAGGGGAAAAAAAGTGAAATCACCTTCAAGAAGCAAATACATGGAACAGCCCTGGGATAGACTGTTGAGGAACAGTTCTCTTAGTTTTTATATTCCATTCTTTCTTTATTTTTCCTTTCTTTCTGTTTCTTTTTCTTTCTTGAGCTAAACTGGAGAGGGAGGAGGAGGGGGGAGGGGGAGAGGGATGGAGGGTATAGTGGGAAGAATTATTATGTTCCTAATGGTGTATTTATAAGATACATATAAATAAAGTACATCTTAAAAAGATGTTTGCTCTGGCTGTGGCATTGAGAATAGGCTGTATAGGGCAAGACTGGATTTGAGAAGACAAGAGTTTAATTCAATATTCCTGGTAAGTGATGATGGGAACTTAGGCAAAGTTAGTAGAAATAGATTCTGTATGGATTGGTTCGATTCTGGAAATGCTTTGGAGATAGAGGTGAATATATTAGCAGATGGATCAAACATTTGGTATGACAGAAAGAAGGGTTGAGGGTTAGTTTAAAGTTATTTGAGCAGTGGAAAGGGAAGGGTTTTCATTTTCTGAGATTTCGAAGAACTGAGATGCAGACTTGGGTGCATGGAAACAGTGGAAATTCAATTTGTATATAATAACTTGATAAGAATATGGATATATGAATCTGAAGTTAATTGGAGCTGCAGGTTTGTACATTTTGGAGTTTTCAGCCTATAGCTATTATATAAAGCCCCACAAAAGGAATAGGGATAGAAAAAATAGAGAGTGAGATACTAGAGGTCCAGTGCATGTCTTGGGTCATTCTAAAATTAATTGTAATGGAATTAGGGAAAGGACAAAGAAATGACTATAAAAGGACAAGGAAATGCTGGGTCATAGTGCACAGAAAAGTGGAGCTTTAGTAGATGTTGCTAACCACCTGAAGTGGTTGTGCTGATTTACAGCTTCCCATAGCAGTGTTTGAGAATTACATTTGCTCTACATTCTAAGTATCTTGTGACTCACTTTTACCTTATTGTAAATCATCTATAAATATTCATTTAGAAATGTAAAATATAGCATACATAGAGTGCATCCCTGTGCAAAACACCTTCAAAATTAATTTCAATTCTTCTGTGGCAGTATGTCCTCCTGCCAATGCTACTGTTGATAGCAATAAACGTTTTCTTGGTTCTGATTGTGTGCCTGGAAGTATTGTATGAGTTTTATAGAGATTGATTAATTGTCCTTGAAAGTCAACGTGGTAAGTGCTGTTGTTAGGCCTCTCAGTTTTTAGAGGCAAACTAAAGCACAGAGAATAAGCACTTTCATATAGTTGCAAAGTGAGTAAGTGCTGAACCCAGGTAGCCTGCTTCAGGCTTGTGCTCTTCCCTTTGTGCTTGGTTGCCTCTCATGGAAGAGTTTTGATTGTTTAATACATCCTGGGCTGCTCCCAAAAAGATTGCCCATGCTTGATGTGCAGTTGTTGACACTTTTCCCCATATGGCCTTGCTAAATCCATAGAGAAGAATCAATGTCTATAGCATGATGTAATATATCATAGATGCAATAGGAACTGCTTTAGGGTATTCCAACCTGAGAACACTTGTGAAATGCAGCATCAGCAAATCTAACAACCATTTAAACTTAATTTCTCTCGGTGGCTGTTTTAGAATTCGATCCTTATCCACATGACTGTATGCAAGTTCGGTTTTACATCCAGCCAACCATGCAGAGCAGGACAATCCTGTCAGTGAGGCCTCATAGACACAGGCACGTTCGTGAGGTAGGTGGTTTGAATGCTGCATTTGACGTTGATCTTTGCTCTTTCTTTCTTTAGTGATAAATCCTGTTGTTCAGGATTCTCTTGGGTGGACTGGGAAACCTAACACAAAACATTTGTTGCCAAAAAGGATAGTATTTCCTTGTCGAAAAGGCTGTACTTATGAAGTGCCATAGAGAATAATGTGGATCACTCATGAAGCTAAGATGTGAAGTACATAGTTTACTTGAGAGGCAATAAAATGTTCTGAGAACAAAAGCAGAAAACAAATCCTTTATGTACCACCTGGAATAAAAGAATGAATGCAGTGGGTGGAGTGTGATTTGGTATACAGAGGGGCCTGAAATTACAAGGATTCAGTTTGAATGATTCTTCAGACAAAATAGTGATCGTAGAACGTGACAGGGGAAGTAGGGAGAGATGGTAGTCTGCTTATCTCCACATCTCTACCTCACCCAGTTCTTTGACTCTCTCAACATTAACTTGCAGAGATTATGGCCACTGAGTAATATTTATCACAGATTTCTCAGCAGAGACATAATCCTTCTCCCCAGAGATTCTGATGTGGGATCTGGGCATGGGTGTGTTTACGAAGCACCCCAGGTGTTCACCATGTGCCAACCAGGTTGGGAATCACGGGTGGGCATGGAGTGACCTGCAGCTGAGAGCCAGAGGGAGGTGCAGAGCAGGTTTCATATGTGCTGCTTTTACATAATCATTTCCATCATTTACCTCCACAGGTGCTCATTACTAGTGTACATGGAAGAAACGGGGTGATAGATGATGCCATCTTCTTCACCTTGGATTCTCTGATACTTCCTGATGGATACGTGCCTCAAATCCTTGATGTCGTCAATGCTGTGGTAGTGGAGAGTGTTCATGCAGGCTATATTTGGAGAGCAGTTTCTATCAGCCCTGAGGAAACAGAGTAAAAGCACAACTCGTTTATTCTCTGTGCATCCTTTCTTCCATGGGTAGTACAGGGCCTATTGCAAAGTTTTTTTGAAAAAAAAAGAAATGAGTAAACGTCAGTAACCACTTCTTAGACAAGTTTTCAAGTCCTGAGTTTTTAGACTACATTTTCTGTGTGTTCTTGAGATTGTTCATCGTTTTTCATCATTAAATAAAGACATTTTCTGCTTATTCCTGGCTAATGACTTTCTCTGCTGCCTCTCAGTTTATATCAGAGGTGTTTGCACTTTATATGGTGTTTTCCTTCTTTTGACCCCTATTTTATACATACATGATGGAGATTTTGCTATTCTCAGTGTGCTCTGTGGTCCAGTGGGCCCTCTCAGCCACCCAGTAGTGAGTTGCCCACTTCAAGTGTGTATCTGCAGTCTTTATCTCTAGACTGGACACTGCCTCCTGGGTTAACTCCACAATTTGTGATTGCCTTCCCAATGCCAACTGTGGAGATGGCAGGCTTGAGCACAGAGACACAATGCCTGCCTTCATGGAAATGTCTTCTGTTTAGGCCCCTTGGTTTTCTGCCTCAGGGTGCAGTAGCTCCTGGGACACAAAGGGGCTAATTGGAGCTGTGGTCAGTTGGGCTCTTGTGAATGTTGTCATTCCAAAGCAGCCTTATTCCTGACATACCTTTGGATACAGCCACCTTTAGAAATGAGAGATACATTGGCAGTAGACTCTACCTCTCCCTGCTGAAGTCTCCAAATTGCTGATACGGAAGGAGCTTCTCTGGGAACAGGAAGTAGTGGATTGTGCCAAGTGCAGTCAGGTGGGACTCAGTCACAGCCACTGTGCCATAAGCGACCTCCATGTATTCCGTGAGTCTTCAGTACATGGGCTGCGCCAGGTTAGGGGAGATCAATTTCCTTTCTGCTTTTACACAGCTAATCCAGAATCTGTTTATTCTCACAGATCAGGTGAACCATGGTGAACTTTCAACATTTTTCATCCAGAGATATGTCAACTCCATGGTTCTTTACCATAATTTGGAAGACTGTGTCCTTGATCATCAAACCCTCACTGGGACATCGTGCTAGACATGCTCAGTGGCAGAAGAACCCCAGGAGCAAGAACCAGAGGGCTGGGATAGTAACTGGTTTTCCATAGGTGGGAAGGAAATGGCTTGGAAGGTACAATGAGCCGCCCACCAGAGATGCTGGAGCTGGAGTGTTCTGAGATGGAGCTTATCCCAGGCATGCCAGGGATGCATCTATGCTGAGGTCAGATGTCCTCAACTCGGGGAAGGACACTAGTCCTGAGAAAGGAAATAAGGCACTGATCCTGAGCAGGGTTCCCAAATTACAGCCCTGGGGTTGATTCTGGCCTGCTGCCTGTTCAGTCGTAAACTTCTCATTGAAGCACAGTTGACACAACATACAGTACACATATGTCTAGAGTGTACAATTTATTGATGTTTAGCATATTTGCAGCCCATGAAACCGATCTGATTTAGGCCATTTTCATTTCCATTGAAACAACAGAATATAATTAAGATTCTACGCTTCATCTTTTTGATAGAGTCAGAAGTATTCAGTCCCTTTCCTGTAACTTGAAAGCAGCTCTGTAAGTGGTTGTGAAACTCTCTCAACATTGAGACTCACTTTATTCAACTGGTCACATGTAGGATATCAGCTGCCACTTTTGATCTGAATGTCAACTCTACATTACCCAAGGCATGCTGCTCAAAGTTCCTTAAACGCATAACCAGGTGCCCAGTGCAGTCTATCTTGACTCAGACTCAACTGTTCTAAATCACGGTGTCACCTTCTATCTCTGGAATCAGTTGTTGGACTCACTGTATCCCACGCTGTGGTGACTGGCACCCCCAGCCTCGTCATCCACAGGGCACATTGACTGCTCTTGGAGTATGCTCCATTCTTCCTATTGCATTATGCTTGTTGATCCAGTTCATTCTGTCCTAGGACTTCCTCCCTATCATTTAAAACTTTTATCGTTGTCTATAAAAATTCCATCTCCATCAAACCAAAGGCAAATACACATGTGAAGCAGAAAATGCTATTGCAGTGCCTCAAGAGAGTAGGAATTGACTTAAAGCACTGTAAGGAAAAAATGGTCATGCTGCCCTTTTCTAAGGGAGGTAATACTGTTCTATAGGGGCTGGAAATTGATTTATATCCTTTTTATTACTCTCTGTTTTGTTACAGAATGAATCTTCTGTTTGACTCTGAGTCACTCCCACCTAGCTACTTTTGCCTGTTCTCTGAACCAGCAAGGGTGTTCCCTGCAGTATGTATCCCTCTGCTCAGGGACCCTCTGAGATGTTGTTTTGGGTGGCAGGAAGTTGTAAGGAGCTGAGGGGTTAGGTGAGCAGATGCCCACAATTGCCATTCACATTTGGAGTATTATCATTAACCTCATTCCCATACTAGCTCAGCCATTGCTGGCCACTGCTGGCCCTTGTCAAGGTTGTGATGGCTGTGCAATATTTGTTCACTGCTGATGAAGTTTACAGTGCCTGATATAGTGGCCTCTCACCTTTGTAAGGTGTCTTCCCTTAGCCCTGCTCTGAATATGGGAACCCATGAGTTCAGGTGGCCACAGACTCAGATAGCTGGTGAATTTGTGAACTGTCACCCTCCCCAGATGGCAGGTTACATGCAACCAGTTTCCCCTGAAACCTAATTCCTCCAGAAAGATTTTAAGTGATAGTGAGTAGTGCCAATTTGTATGGAGGTGGGAAAGATGTCAAGAAACTGACATTGCATCAGGGGCAAAGTGGGTTAGGCAACCTCAAGCAGTAGGTAGAACCCACACACTTCCTTATATTCACTCCCTGTTGCGAAGGATAAATCAGAAGTTGCCCCGTTTCAACCCTGTCTCCTGGTGTTCACTCCTTCATATAATCCCCACTCCCCTGAGTATGGAAGGGGCCTATACTTCATTCTAACTAATAAACCATGGCACATGCAATGCAATATCATACCTATCATTTCAGTTTTTATATGAGACTTCCATCTAGCTGACCAACTGCCTGTAGAGGCTCTCCTAACTGCTGACCCAGGTGCCATGTTGGGAAAGTTCATGTGGCTAAAAACAGAGATGGCTCTGTAAACTTCAGAAGCCATTAAGAGAGCAATCTCCAGGCCAACAGCCAATGAGAAGCCAAGGCCTTCACAGTCTTTGAACAATCTGAGTGACAGCTGGGCATTGTGGCACAGCAGGTTAAGCCACTATGTGGGATGCCCACATACCATATGGAGAACCACTGTGAGTCGTGGATATGCCACGCTTCCCATCCTGTTTCCTGCTAATGTGCTTAGCAAGGCAGTGGATGATGGCTCAAATAATTGGGTCCCTGACACCCATGTAGAAGTCCCTGATGGAGTTCAGTGCCCCTGAATTCTGTCTGGCCCAGCCCTGCCTGTGGTGGGCATTTGGGGAGTGAACCAGTTGATGGAAGATCGCTCTGTCTCTCTCTGTCTCTCGTCTCTCTCTCTCTCCCTCCCTCCCTCTCTCCCTTCCTGCAGTTCAAATAAATATATAAATAAATCTTGAGAAAATCACCTGTGCAGACTTAGATTGGATTCTTCTGCAGGTGAACCTGTAGCTAAGCACATCTTTCTTCCTTAATTTTGGCCACATCATAAGTTCAGCCTTGTGAGGTACTAAGCAAAGGGGCCACTTAAGCCATGCCAGACTGCAGACCACAGAAACCACAAGAAAATAAATGTATGGTTATTTAGGCCAGGAATAACAAAACCTGAACCATGATACTGAAACGCGGCTGCGGAGGGCAGGGTATGTCTTCTCAGGACACATATTAAAGTACAAATTTATTGAGATATATCCTCAGTAAAATGTACCCTTCTTGGGCATAATGACTTTTTACAAATGCATGCAGTTATGAAAGCACTGTCATAATCAACATACTGAATATTTCAAGCATCCCAATAATTGTACTCATACCTACCTGCTGTCAGTACACTACCCATACCCCTATCTCAGGCACAAACTGATATGATTTCTGTCTGTAGTTTTTTCCCTTGCATGAATGCATAAAGTGGAATCATGTATTATGCAGGCTTTCACGTTTGTCTCCCTTTCATTTGTCATAATGGTTTTTCAATCCATTCAAATTGTGACAGGTAATTAATTCCTTTTTATTCTTGAACCTGTTCATCAGGGAAGTTGCTACACTCAGGGAGGTGAGAACCTAGGTGTTCCAACATCTTTGATTTTGCCTTCAGAAACAAAACAGGTTTGCAAGATTTATCTGTCTTTCGATATCCACAAATTCCATGATGATCTTGCAGAAAGTTTCACCCTTTAAGATCAAAATTGTGGGGCTGGCGCTGTGGCGTAGTGGGCTAAACCTCCGCCTAGAGCAATGGAATCACATATGGGTGCTGGTTCGAGTCCCGGCTGCTCTTCTTCTGATACAGCTCTGTGCTATGACCTGTGAAAGCAGTAGAAGATGGCCCAAGTGCTTGGGCCCCCGCACCTGCATAGAAGACCTGGAGAAGCTCCTGGCTCCTGGCTTTGAATCGGTGCAGCATTAGCCATTGCAGCCATTTGGGGAGTGCACCAGTGGATGGAAGACCTCTCTCTCTCCCTCTGTCTGTGACTCTACCTTTCAAGTAATTTTTTTTTCATTTTCTATTCTCTTTATATACAGAAGATCAGTTTAGCATACATTAAGTAAAGATTTCAACAGTTTGCTCCCACACAGAAACATAAAGTGAAAAATACTGTTTGAGTACTAGTTATAGCATTAAATCTCAATGTACAGCACACTAAGGACAAAGATCCTACATGAGGAGTGAGTGCACAGTGACTCCTGTTGTTGACTTAACAAATTGACACTCTTGTTTATGGCATCAGTAATCACCCGAGGCTCTTGTCATGAGCTGCCAAGGCTATGGAAGCCCCCTGAGTTCACTGACTCTGATCATATTTAGACAAGGCCATGGTCAAAGTGGAAGTTCTCTCCTCCCTTCAGAGAAAGGTACCTCCTTCTTTGATGACCCATTCTTTCCACTGGGATCTCACTCGTGGAGATCTTTCATTTAGGTTTTTTTTCCCCAGAGTGTCTTGGCTTTCCATGCCTGAAATACTCTCATGGGCTTTTCAGCCGGATCCGCATGCCTTAAGGGCTGATTCTGAGGCCAGAGTGCTGTTTAGGACATCTGCCATTCTA